CGCGCTCCGGCACCGCGCGATAAATAAATAAAAATATAATATTATTCTTGCGCCGCGTCGCACTTATTCCGTGAGCGTTCGCGCGCCGCGTACCCCTGCTCTTGATTTATTTTATTTTTTAGTATTTTTATTTACTTCTTTGAAAGCGAATAAAACACTATGCTTGTATCTCAACCTTTCAGTGCGTCGGTTTTACTCGAGCTGTAATTGAAGGAAATGAAAATGTCTTCAATAACGAGCTACTCGAAGGAAAAATACTGCCGGATGGAAATAATAAATTTGATAAATTTCAATTATTTATATGATCCCCTTTAGTTTATAACCAAGGGAGTATAATAGCCACTGATTTGAATTGAAAAAAAATACCCTAATATTTCGTAAAATTAAAATTTATTTGCTTTCATTTTTTCTATATTCAAGGAGCACAACGTATAATTATAATTATGTATACACAGGGCATCCCTCTTCCTTCTTACTTGTTTCTGTAAAAAAGTAAGAACTCGCATCCCCTTGAATTTTTTTAAGAAAAAAGTAATAACTGTGGACAAATTAACAACAATAATATAATAATTATAACAATTTCCTAGATGTCATCCCATCTTTAAGGGGCCCCTGAAGTAAAATTTATTATGGTTTTAACGCATTTGATTAAGCAGTCTGAACATTAACATTATTTGCTGGATGACCGAAAATTCGGCGCTCGTATAGCGCAAGAGGGGCCACATGTGCCAGCGGGCCGATGCGACACGCGCCTAATAAAATTAAATTCCCTACCTTGGGGGTCACGGCGATAGTCCCTGGTCCATTTGGGGTCTTCGGCAGGTCGGTGAAGTCCTCCGTCGGCTCAAATTCGGCAAGATACGGGCGAGAGGCGACTTTTGTTATCATTGCACTGCACAAACTGTCCCTCCCCCTCCATCCAGCTAGCGGCGGTGGCGGCTGCTGCCTGGTGCTGGAAGACCACAGGAGCGAACAAGTCGGGACAGGGATGATATAGACGCACCGTTCGCGAGAGGCAGGCAGAAAAATAATCGGGCTGATTAAAAATATCATAAAAATGTAGAAAGTAAATTTCCAAACGATTGGCCATCTTAAATAATTTCAAAAAATCATTTTTTCCTTTATAATTTTATCAAATTTTGACCAATTTTGACTTTGAGTTCTGTAAAGATAAATCGAGATAAATAAATTATGTTCTGACGACCTCGATTGAACAACAAAAAAGATATAATTTTTTCTCTGTAACTTTTTATTTTCAAAAGTTTTCCTTGGTATATGGAATATTCTGGAATATTCATTTGAAAAAATGCCGCAAAATAACTCGGCTCCAAAATTAATATAATTTTTTCCAAAAATATTAAAATAAAAACGTCGCGTCTTTTCATCACCTCTATGATCTTTGACCTCCATCAATGTTGCAAATATAAATGTGAAAATATTTTTTACGTGTTATAACGTTAATAATTTGTAAATCGGCGCAATGTCAATTTTATTTTTCTGCCTACCTCTCGCGAACGGTGCGTCTTTCATCCCTGTTCGAACTTGTTCGCTCCTGAGGTCTTCCAGCACCAGGCAGCAGCCGCCGCCGCCGCTAGCTGGATGGAGGGGGAGGGATAGTTTGTGCAGTGCAACGATAACAAAAAAGTCGCCTCTCGCCCGTATCTTGCCGAATTTGAGCCGACGGAGGACTTCGCCGACCTGCCGAGGACCCCGAACGACCCAGGGACTATCGCCGTGACCCCAAGGTAGGGTTAACCCGCGTATATAATTTCATTAAGCTCGCGCTGGGCTCATTTATTTGGTTTGCTGTGTCGCATCGGTCTGCTGGCACATTTGGAACTCTATACACAAAGAAACTCAGTAAGAAATTATCAAAATTTTTAATATCAGATTGTCAGGGAAGTGTTCGTTTCTTGGTTTAAAAAATTACACAGAAACTGTTATTAATTTAAATTAGAGAATTCTCTCCCATTTTGAATTGACATATAATTTTAAAATACAATTAAAATGGTTAATTTTCTCAGAAATTTCCAAAATTACCCTTTATAAACAAAACAGGTGTTTGAAAATCGTAAGTCTCGTCTGAATCTTCGATTCGCACAGTTGGAATGCATTTTAAAAGCGACGCCCAGAGGCGAGTGGAGCGTGCAGTGTCTTTCTGTTTTTCCAATTGTCAAACGGTAGTGGTGGTGGTGGTGCGTGTATGCCCAACACACATTTATTTTAAACGCGCAAAGTGCTGCTGCCTTAATGTCGCTGCCTGCATATTGGCAGTCGCGCGATTTATCGCGTTGCATCGCCGGCAAAAGTGACGCCATAAATTATTTTATCATTATTACCCAAGGCTGCTGTGCTCGCTCGCGCACTCCGCGAAAGCCTCTCGTCGCGGCTGCACTCTTTGTCTCATGGGCAAAATAATCTCCGCCCCGTCCGCACTCTTTTTTTTACACACATACTTGCGCACCACACGAGGAACTAAATGTGAGATACGCTTTATTTTATGTTGGTATCAATAATTGTAATGGGCTGTTGATGTCGTGCCGTTGCAGCACAGCAGCTCACTCTTGTACTCTCCGCACTGCCATTTAAAGTTATAACAATTACTTTTTTCTTTTTAAATACAAAACTTTTTTTTGTATGTACTAATTTTTTACATACTTATTTCTGTTAGTATTTTACATAAATAAATATAAATTATTAATATTACATTATTTTAATTTAAATTTTTAAATTTTTTTGTTGGTTTTTCTGTTAAGTGAACAATTTATCAAAGTTAAAACGTTTATTTAGTTTAATAATAATTGGACTGAAAGTCTCACCAAGAAGTATTTATCTTAGCAAATTATCAGTTGAAATAACGTTTCATTTTTCTATAACATAATCCATAATACATAATATAATTTTTTTCTTGCATAACATGGGTGTAATTATGAACTCGGTCCTATTTGAATAAAGTTGATCTAAAATCTTTTTCATCCACCAACTTTTTATTATCTATAGATTTTCACGTGCAGGTGAATTTTCTTCCCAATTGAAAAATGAAATACAAGCTTATTCATTGTTTTGATTTTAATCGAATTTATTGGTTATTTATGTGTCCAAAATATTTCAATAATTTTAAATTGGAAGAAAAACAATTGCTGTGAGGGGAACATTTGATTGAAGTACATAAAGGTCACAACCACAAAGCAATAAAACTACCAAAATCAGGACGAAATCTGAATTCTTGATTCTTGATTAAAAGAATAACTTGTGTATGTAGAGTCTATACTATACAGTTATTTGAAATTTTACTACAAAGAAAACTAGGAACTAAATTAACGAGGGAAACCTATTTGCATATATTTAAAATAATTCAGCAACTGAGCAGGGGGAATTGAAATTCCAATTTGCATTTTTACTTAGTAAATAATGAGTTTTAATTTAAATTTTTTTTTTCATTAATAATAATCTATATTTTGAGGCGTCTCTGTTGAATTGAGCACAATTCAATTCGTCGGTATCGCGAAGGAAAATCGCGACGCCGCCGACGTGATTTGGTTCACGCTGAGCATTAATATTGGCGTGGGCATCAAAACATTTTGTATTTTATCAATCGTCAGCTGCTGTCGGTCGTTCGGTTGGGTCGGCGCTGCTTTCAATTTCGCCTGCCGATCTAGATAAGCAGCGAGCGCGCATATAATAAAAGGCTAATGACTCGGCGGCGGCGCGGAATTGAATCGGGCGAGGTGTTGATTAGAAATTAAAATCAGTGGCGTGCTAATGACAATTATCAGTGGCTTCAATTGGCTGCATGATTGATGGTCGTTGGACTCGCAGGTTGATTTTTTGTGTGGTGAATGTTGTTATGATCGAAGGACGCCCTGCTTTTGTTGTCAGGAATCTAATCTATGAGGCGGGCATTGTTAACCAATCGATTACAACAATGTACGGCTGCTGGCTAGTTAGCTGCGTATGCACTACTTGCACTTCGCGCGTCCTCCCAAGCCTGATTAATTTTAAATTGCTTTCCGATCAAATAACTTTTTAACCTAACAAAGTCAAATGCAAGGCCCCAACCTAACGTCAAGCTTTTTTCTGCTCCCGGTAAAAAATAAAAATAACTTTTCATTATTCGAACAGGGAAGATATAATAATGCTCACAATCAGGCAGCCGTCCAATTTTGAGACGACCATTGTTCTATTCAGGGCCCAAGAGTTTCCGAACAATAGTGACACTTTCAACCCTGACAATTCAAATTTTCCTCCCTGTTAGGAAGATTGTATAACCTTTTCACGATATTTAGTTTTTTTATACAAGCACGACGTGCTTCTTTATAGGAAAAAAAATTTTGACACGCATCTAATGGTCTGTTAAATGCTGATACGCGTATTGAAACCCTGTAAAAACGTGTGTATTTTAACTACTAGGAAAAAATATATATGGATTTCCACTAAACCCTTTTTGAATTATTTATTAATAATCATAATTGATCATTCCTCTGCAGATGCTTTTTTGATATTGTTATTTGATTATGACTGATTACGCTATCAATATTAAAGTATATACACTGCATAAATATAATTAAAAAATTTTAAGAGGTTTTTACGTGGATTTACTGAAACTGTGCGAGAAACACTTGGCTTTAAAGAATGGAATACAAACCAAAATTTTGACTTGTAATTAAGAAATTAAATTTTTAAATTCCTCGAAAATTGATTTTTAGTGAATCAAAAATAATATGTTAAAAATGAACGTAATTATGAAAATTTATGTTTTAATATTATATTTTTATACACAAAGTTATTGTAAATTCAATTCAAACATCAATAATACGTTCTCATGGGTTCATGAATTCCTGTTGCTTGTGTGCTTATTCTCCTCAATGTGAAAATTTTATTTTGAGAGTTTTACTGTTTTACTCGACGATGGAGAATAAAATAAATTTAATTTGAACTATGAAAAAAAAATTCTTAGGTTATATATTGATAAGAAAAAGACCAACAATTTATTTGGCTTCAAAAATGCTCTGCTTTTATTTTTTTACACCACATATTGAGATTTACCAGATTTACACGTTCCCTACAAGAGAATCTGCGCCGTCGAGAGACGGACCATCAAGCACACGGTTCGCGCACCCATCACAATTAAGTTCTTCGTATATAAGATATAACACATTTTTTCACACTCCGCGGACATCATTTGGTATTTTTAATATAATATCGTTAAATTTACATCATTATGCTGAGATAAAAACGTACCAATCTCGCACACTTAATTTGTATCATAATTGGAATAAGAGAGAGAGAAATTAATGTGCTTTTGTTCAGTTTCGTTGGTGCTGCTGCTGGAGGAAAAGTCTGGAGGCGAGTTCGGCCTGTCTCCAGGCGGCGATGCGCTCAGCAGCGCTCATCGTCAGCTGGGGCGGCCCTCCCGAGGGGGCAGGGGTCGCCCCTGGAGGCGAGCGGAGGTCGTCGTCAGCGTCGCCAACAACGTCGAGGCGTTCATCATCGGTGACGACATCGTCATCATGGACGTTGATCTCGTCATCGGAGGCGGCGTCGGAGCCGCCCCCGGGGGCCTGGGGGCCGCGGGTCGGCGTGAAGGCGCTATTTTCGCCGCCCATCTGCAGCGTGCGGCGCAACGGCGGCGGGGTAAGAGAGCCAGGGGTGGAACCGCACGAAGGGCCTTGGGGGCGGGAGGAGGGAGAGGCCGGGGGCGACGAGGCGTGGTGCGCCCCCGCCATGCCGAAGGGTTTTAAGAGGTTCATGCGTTGGTGTCGCCTCCATTTGGCTCGTCTGTTGGAAAACCAAACCTGGCGTTAAAAAGCAAATTAGGGCTCGGCTCGCAAGGTATGTTATGTGTGGGGGCAGGGTTGCTGGTTCGACGGGACAGGGGGCGACACTCACCTGCACTCGCGCCTCCGAGAGACACGTCTTGGCCGCCAGCCGCTCCCTGGTGCTCACGCACGGGTAGTGGCTGCGGTCGAACTCGCGCTCCAACTCCTCCAGCTGCTCCGGAGAAAAGGTGGTGCGGTTGCGACGGAACTTGGGCGCCTCCGTCGAGTCCACGGAGCCAGTTTCGTCCTTGCCATCGTCTGAAACACCAAAGCCTTCATTTAAATATTAAATATAAATAGTATCTTACTGTTCAATTTATAATTATTTAAAAAAAAATCAGTACAATATTTTTTACAAGTAATTATGTACTTATTTACTTATCAAACACAACTGAGGGAATCATATTTAAAACATATTAAATAAATAACAATGTACTAAAAAAATTTAGTTAAAAAAGAGCACAATACTTTAAATTTTACATCATGAGTAATTTAAAAAAAAATTAGTAATTATTATACTTCTAATTTTTTATTTAATGTAGCTTTATTAGTTATATATTTTATAATAAAATTATTGTGTTTTGTTGAAAATAGGTTTTGATGTTATTTATAATTTATTATTCTTTATTATTATAAGAATATTTAAAAATTTTAAATATATTTTTCAATATAACTGCTGCGCTCATATCCATTAATAATAAATGCTTTTTAAAGCAAAAGCTTTTTCCATTGTATAGATTTGTAATTGATAAAATGCAATAATAATAATATAATATAATAATAATAATCAGGTTCTGAAACCACTTAAAGGAATCAATAATTAAAGATATTACCGTATTTGCCGTGACAATCAAGTAGAAGAGAGTTGCATTTGTTAACTTGAATATTTATCAGTAAAGTTTGGGCAACAAATAATAATAAATTCCCTAATTTATTATGTGTTTTTGTCAAATCTTTCTTTAAGAAAATGGAAATGCTGGAAAAAAAGCTGTGCCACCACTAACAAGAATGTTACTATATGAAGCTTCTGAAATAAAAACCCCATCCACTGCAGTGAGCCCTCTACCACATAACATAAGCATAAAATAATATGCAAATATGTAAATAAGGATTTCAACTCAAAATATCTTTCTCTGTATAAATTTTAATTAAAAATTATGTAATAAATCATTCGAAATCTTTCTTTGAGAAATAATCTTATTTACAATAACACATTGTCAAAATTAAATTTCTTTAAAAACGCATTTTTTTTTTCATTTATGAAATTTATTATAAATTTAATTAATGCCTATACAATTGAAACCGTTTGTACTCACCACATAGCCGTTGTCCAAGCAAGTCGCTCGAGCTGACGGCGCCGCTGCTGAGGCCACCCTCGCCTGTGCCGGTGCTGCTTCCACTGCTCGCAGGGTTGCCTAGGGACGCAGGGTTCCAAATGTTGGAGCCCGGACTCCCGCTGGCCGCTGCGGCCGCGGCAGCAGCTGCGGCGGCGGCCGCTGGATGCCAAGGAAAGCCGCTGTAGGGGTGGTAAAGGCCGTAGCCGGCAGCACGCGCAAATTCGGCCGCCGCCCGCTCGGCCGCTCTGTTTCTCAAAATGCGGTTGATGCTGCTGACACTTGGAGCGGTTGAATTCGTGCACACGCCTGAAACAAACGCACCAAAATTGTGATATAATTGAAGAAAATAATTATTTAGTTCATCTAGATCAGTATTATTTAATTTATTTAAATCATTTAGATTTCAACCGAATTCATGCATTTTTATTTTATTTTTATTTTTTAATAAGTCAAATTAGGTTTGGGGAAGATATGTGCCAATAAATGAACTTAAATGAACCAGCACAGTTTAGATAATGTCATTTATTAATTAAATTGAGATTTCAGAAGCTCATAAAATCAGTTGATTGATGAAAAAAACTTACTATTTTTATTTACAAATTAAAATTGCCTATTTTATACCAATTGAATTTAAATCTATAATGATGTTCTGGCCCTAATTAAATTTACTTGGAAAATTTTCAGTGAGTGAAATGCAACATTAAATCTTGATTTATTTACTCTGTTTCGTTTTGCCAAAGCCTGTTCTCTCTCACTCTCAGGGCGTATATTAAAAATCTCGATTACAGAGGCCTATACTAAATACAACTGTGTTGAGAATAAAGCGAGCGAGCACTCTTAAGACAGAAGTCACGTACAGAAGAGCGAACAAAATATTCTGGAGGAGAGAGCAAGTTGCGATTAGCATTCTAATAACGAGTCTGTGCCGCAATTAAGGCGCTCAATTAACACCTTGATAACTGTTCACTGTCGTAATCGATTTCCAATGCAAATGCTACGCCGACCAGCCCTTTAATTGGACATTCATCAAGCCAAAATATGAAAACTTTCATACAATCAGCTCGAATTTATGTGCAAAGAGGTGTTCGAACGCCAGAATAAATCAAACGTCGATGTTCAATTTTACGGTTGCTCGGCTGGCAATGCTGATTTATTCGCTTGGATTAATCCTTTAAGAACTCGTATAAATTTAGAGCTTGTATTAATAAATGGCGGGAATTGGGCCTACGCAAATTGTGTTATTATTTAAATCGGGTTAAAAATTTGTGTTAATCTTGCAGTAAAAATATCCCAATATAGAGAGGATGATGACATCTATAAATTTACGGTTCATTCCATGATTTTTTCAAATGGAAATTATTTAAGAGATAATAATCAATAAGAGTAATGTAAATGGGCCAGTACGGTTATTCAAACATTTGAATAAAATAACTTATTTAAATAAAAAATTAAAATATTCACATGACGCATTGTTTAAGTTCAAAGTTTTAATTTCTTCGTTGAAAGAATCTCATTGTCATTCCCTTTTTTTAATGGAGAATCCAGTTTTGAAACACGTAAATAATATTTAAGAAAGAATATTTATTACAATGAACAAACCACCCAGCATGCTCTAAATTTCTACATCCCATTCAAAATATTATATACTAATCTTTTATAATCTGTCTCTAATTAGCCTTTTCATTCTTTCCATTGAGTTTTTATACCTTCGCTGCAGTTCAATAAAAATTCCTGTCTAAAAGCCACGTTTATTTTTATTGTTGAACACCAGAAGCTCTGCGTATTTTCCTCAATATAATATAATAAAGCGGCCGAAGCGCAGCCGGATTCAGCACGGTTACCCCCAGTGGCTAGATAATGTGTTATTTAATAATATTTTCATGAAATTAGCCTCATGACTGACGAAAGGTTGATCTATGCTGGTGGTCCTCACGCATATTTAGCCGCTGTGCATCCCGAGACACGGCGATTCGCCCGCACAGATGTTCGTCCGGGAAGTTAAACGTGCGCAAATAAATATGAAAAATATAAAATAAACAAACAAACAAACAGCCTACAGTTATAAAACGAAAAATTATTTGCGTGTTGGGATATATTTTTTATATGTATTTCACGCATTCTCATTAATAGACAATATAATAATAAACCTGAAAAGTTTGTTTCTCGTTAGGGAGAAGAAACAATTAATTTGCATTTTTGGTTTTTCGCTGGCAGGTCAGCCCACGCGCTTTGGGTGGCACGATGATGCTGTAAGAATTGATAGTCGGTGCGCGAGCATCCACAAAGAGTGCATTCAGAATTCAGTTTCACCCATCATTACCCACAGAGTTAATGGTAAATGGAATCACAACATGACGCATTCAAGTAATTACCGCCAAATGACCCTCATTGCCGCGCGTTCACACGGGAGGTCCTTTTCACACAGGACCCAAAAGACACCGAATTACATTTCACTACCGCAACTTCAAAGGAAAATTTCCTCAAATTAAATAAATTCAACCGATTTTGTATGGAAATTCCTCTCATGCTCAATTTCGTAAAAGATTATATTCCAGCACTTATACTCGGGGCGACGAGACCTAATAAATTTTCATACTGAATTCTGGAAATTAACTGTTTGTTCAAAATCGTGATCTAGGATAGGCGAGGAGATCGCCGCGGGCCAACATACGCTTGAGCAAAATCAATATTTTGCCAGGCACCAAAGTAAATAACATGCACACTTCAAAGCTGAGGCGCTTCTTCTATTGAAAAAAAAAACAGCCAAAACGTTCTGCGCACTTTTTTATAACTTATCAAAAGCTGCTTTTATGGCGCATTGTGTTTTTAACAAGTCATAAATAAAATTCAAATCGTTGCATGCGCTACCTGAATTACGCTTCGGAGATATGAGCGAGAAAAAGATGACGGGGAGGAGAAGAAATTTAAAAGTCGGCCTGGCCATCGCATGCTACACGGAATGACTCGCGGCAAAATTATAGGCACTGGGTATGGATCGCGCAGGCAAGGCACTGATTGTTTTACTCTTGGGCTTTGAGTTTTTCAGTCACGGACATAATCTAATTTCACCCTTGAACCGTGGAAAAGTGTTTTGCCTATTTGATATTCTTCCAAGCATAATTTAATTCTAAAAAACCAATAATTTAAAAATTAATTATTACCTTTATAGATTCTTGGTTTAATCATTCTCTCATTTAGCTAATTGTATATCGTATTAAAGAATTCGAACTAGTTTACTAAAGATTTGCAAGCGTCAGTTTTTATTGAATATAAATTATTGTAATTTAAAACGAAATCACATAGGAGAGGAACAAACCAAAAAAATGATGCCTATGAATACGATTAATCTCAAATATAGTGAATTAATAATATAACCATAACATATATATATATATTTAGATATTAAAAAATATTATTTAGCAATTTTTCTTCTGGCATTGTTGTTTATGGTAAAAATTGATGGTTTTTTAAATTACAAACTTTTATTAAAACAAACTTAAATTTCATTTAATTTAAAAAAATTTTAAGCATAAGAATTATAATATTCTTACTAAAATTAAAATAAATGTCTTGTAATTTTAGCAATTTTGCTGTTTCTGATAGATCCCTGGAGCGGGTGGAGAAATTTTTGCGCTCCGGACGCTTCATATTCCGACATGAAAGGCTAAGTGCTGGTTGATTTCAATTGCGTGCCGAAAATTGCAGTCCGCCAAATTGTAATGTGCGCTCCGCAGAGACGCTTTAACCTTGCGCAATTGCCTCTCTTAATTTATTATTTTCCAGCAGCTAGACCCTGCATGCGAGCAAAAGGCAAACGGACAATAAATCCATCCAAAATTTCAATTTTTAACTAAAAGTGTATGTCGATAATTCACTTTTGTTGCCGCAGAAAAATAAGTGCTTGATGTCACAGCGGGGACGAAAAATTTAAGCACATGAAAGCAAAATCAGGAATATTTTTGCAGTCCCTGCAAATTTTAGATATTTTTCCTCTGCGATCATCAGCCATACAAAATTTAATTTCTAAAGATGGATTTTTATTTAATTAAGCAATGCGAAAGATTTTCATTTTTGTAAAATTTCATTATATTGAACGACAGAGACATGATTTAAGAAATTAAAACTATGTTCTTGGAATTTTTATTTTCAACCAAAAGTTTAGTTATGAATTTGGAAAAGCGTCAATTTTATGAATTAAATATCTTTTTAAAATAAAATTTATGATTTTATTCACTCATATGGGAAAAGGGAAACGAAGTCAAGGGAAAAAAATTAATTTTTGATTATTTTTTTTTCGATTGCAAAATACCTCGATAAGATGGTTTTCCATACACATTACCGATAAAAAAATCTATTTATTAAAAAACGACCGCTTGTCTAGCATATTTTAGATTTTATCAACAAAAAATATTAGGTTGCCACTTGAATTGTTTAGTTTCTTAATTTTAACAAAACAACACCCATACATCATTGCGAGTGTTTTCTTATTTTGACTTCGCGCTTGATTCCTCGGAAATAAAAAGAAGCTAGACTTCCCAGTCAGCGCATTTATGCACATTAGCGCGGCACCCGGTGATTTGTTCTGGTCTCTGGTCATTCGTTGGTTAAGGGCAACGAATCCTGCAAAGTTCCTCCTTTCGCGAGCAGAGGTCAAAGCAATTAATCGCGGTGGTAAGCAGCGATTGGCCAGGGCGCGATCTGCACCCATTGTATGCAAATCATGCGTTCTGCATGGGGGAGCACCAAACGCAGCGCGCATGATACGGAAAATGAATTCCCTATCGGAGAGAATGAATAAAATATTTTTATAAACAAGCAGCCGTGTGTGTGTGTCTGCCCCCATGCTATTCCCATGCAGGCAATAATTTCGGTTAATTATAATTTCTCATTTTGTTACACGCAAAGCTGACCTTGCTCGCCTGCCTATGAACAAAAAAAATGTCTGCCCGCGATCTGATGCGAGTTGGGGGGAAAAAGTGATATTATTTTTTGACGTTTAAGTATATGTTGTGCGCGCACGACGGCGGCGACGGCGGCGTTTCCTGGAAATCTGATTATTTTTCAAACTACCGAAATGCGCACGGCGCGCTCAAAAAGTGGTGTATTACACACGAACGCGCGGCGAGAGAGTGGGTAATGTGACTGCCTCCGTATGAGCAGCCCTTTTTTATACACCAAATGTGTTGTGGCCCAAACGTAGAACACTCTTGTCAATAACACACGCAATGAAGTACAATGATCTTAATTTATTTACCTATAAATCTTATTCTTGAAAGACAAAATTAAAATTTTTCATGAATAAAATT